AATGCGGCGCGAATCCAGCCATTAATACGGGGCAGATTAGCGCGCTCCCGAAACACGTCTATTCCGACCACGTTTTTCCGGTTATATGAGATCCTGGCTGACTCTCGACCCGACTTTGTCATTACAGTGACAATGACAGATGCGGAAGCAGTGGCAAGCGGAACTGCGCAGTTACCCTGCGACGTGAAACCGCCGCTCTCCGGGGACAAGCTGCACCTGGTTATTTGGTACAAGGAGGAGGCGGATACGCCGATATACAGGTAAACTCCCTTCCCCTTTCTGTTCTTCTAAAGTTTCTTATTTGGATTCGTGGTGTAAACCACGTCTCGCTTCTTGATACTCACAAGGGCCATAATACCACATGGAGAAAAATAATTTGCTGGCACAGCGAATTTCGCTACAAAATTCGCTACAAAATTATTTTTCTCTGTACGCTTTTTTTTTCTACTTATTTTGAAAATCGCGTTCCTTTTTATTTCTGTCGATACACGTTAATATGCGAGGATGTTGCAGTATGTTGTGCGGCGGTGCGTGTAATGCTACTCCCCAATAGCATTAAATTTATTCAGGTATTTGTGCAACAATTCGCCAGATAGGAAAATAATAAACGTCGCTACGCAAATTGTTCCCTTGAAACCTGCCTCCAATTTATAGCACTCGATGCTATCCGAAATTTGTAAATGCATTACATAAACGTGATGTATAGAATAATCTGATAGGGCGCCTAATATACCAAGCTAAAAGCTTTGAACTATAAAGTTATATAAAATAAAATCAGACAAAAAGAGAGCAAGGGGAAAATTATAAAAAAGCAAAACGAGATAGCTTGACGGGCGTAGAACAATCCGCTTGCCGATTCGATGCGTCTATTTCTATGTTCCGCGTACGTAAAAAAGCTTCTAATGCAGAGAAAAACGAATTATTATACTGGGTAAAATTCATCCTTTTCTATTTGTATCACGTATTCACAGATGTATATAGAAAAAATTCAAGTAAATAATTACCCCAATATTTCTTAACAAACGTTCACTTGGATTCAATAAATATTACTTGAATGTAGCGCTTTCTTCCACATTCAAGTAATATTTACTCGATCCAAATAAAAATTTGCTAAATAGTATTGGAGCAATTATTTACTCGAATCTAATACTTTTTTCTATGTAAGAATCGCGTGAAACTCCAAGTGCAACTTCGACACGTAGGTTGCGTAGCGTGCTAAGCAACGTCGGAAGCCTGCGTCGAGCGAAGAGCAAAAACAACGTTCCCGACGAGGTAATTGTGACGGTAACTGTTGCGGAATGAGATTTATCAATTCCTCAGGACAGTCGTCTGATTATGCGCGGGATATACCCGCAGTCAGCTGAAAACGAATTCTTCCGCTTGTTCCACTTAATTCGTGCAAATGGAAATGCCTTTCAAACAGATAGACAGGCATAATTTACATTCCGCGCCGCGAAAGTGACATATCAGAACTGCAGGAGAAAATCGCCCGATGTTCTAGTTAGGATCCTCTCTGACGCTCATTAAATCAAAGCGAATTTCGCTCCAGGAGGAACGTTAATTGGCTAGGCTTTTAAACGCGATCGCCGATCAAACGATCGTATCGATCTCGTCGCCCGCACAGATCGTCGTCGTATGTATGTGTGCGATGCCGAATCCTGTGCACAATTCTCGTTCAGATGCACCTGACATGTCACGCGTTTCACGCAAAAAAGACGTTTAAAAGCCACAACCGCTGTAATAACTGAGTATCGCGAGTTCTGCGCCCGATCCCAGACTCCGCGTATTGTTGTCGCCTCCATCATCATTATTATTATGATTTTCACTTCACGCGTATATAAACGTTTGAATAACGTCTTCCATTTATCAAAATAATTCAGCATTGTTCTAAATCATTCGGCGCGTACGCAACCTAACCGAATTTTAGTTCTATGTATAAATCAATTGTTCCGCGGATACGGTGTTTTTATTGCATTTCGCATACCGACTCTCGCCGCGATTTATTATTCCAATTCTGGCGTAACGTATGGAAACTTCAAAAGGAAAAAAGGGTCGCACGTTCCGTAATATACTTTTAATTATAGAAGCAGATTATAATTGTTATATCATTTATAGGCGTAACAATGCTGCGCCTTTTTTCTATATTTAAATAAAAATGTATACGTGATATATATATTGTGTGCGTGTGTGTTTTTTGTTTTATTTTAACATATCAAACAGTTCTCAAAATTTTTCCGTGATATGTACGTTGTGTAGAAGAGAAAGAGAAGAGGAGAGCAAACGAAACAATTTTATTTATTATAGTTCGCAAATAAAATAATATTTATATGATGAAATAATTTAACGATGTAAGTGTTGCGATTTACACTTAGTTGCGTAAAACTCCTCCATACGATGTGCATACAAAAAAAATTAAGTATCAATTTAAGATTTATATACTCTAATCGATGTGATCATTGTTTCATGTATAAACAAAAATATATATAATCTTTTTATAAAAATTTAATAACCTTGAATTACAAAAATATTATAATTTTATTGCAATATTACGATAATCTACTAAAGAGCACAATATGATTATTCTGAAAATAATAAATCTTGTTGGAGACATTAAAAACAATTATATCAGAGAAAGATGAATGTATTATTTTAAGTAATTCTATATTCGAATCAAATGTACGTTAATTTTCTTCCAATGATATGAACATTTTCACTTCATAATATAAATCAGGTCTTATATTTGAAATCGTCTTAAATTCATTCTCAGATGTTCTGTAGCCAATAAAACGACTTGTATAGTATTTGAGGATAAACCTTAAAATGATCTTAAATATAAGACCTCGCTATTATAAGAGTCGGAGAGAAAATCTAGAAGCCGGAGTTACTTGGTCCCGGACTCGAACCGTAGGACCTTTCTCTCTTACTGGGTGTCTGCTCTTACCATTGAGCTATCTAGACTCCTACTTCGATATACTCTCTTTCGTCCTCTTATGTTATTGTCTCAATTTTCAAATAAAATAAATTGTTATTATAAAAACTTTCAATGATTCGATTTAATATTATAAACTGTTTTTCACAGAATTATATGCAATTCCTTCATGTGAGTTTTATTTTCTGTTTAACGCTTATTATTATGTATAATTATCTGTTTAAGTTTTTATCTGTTTTTATTATCTATATAACCTCATTTCAAAATATATATGTTGAAAATACCGATGTTTTCGAAACAAGAATATTCCTTCTCGTACGTGCACATTTATGAGCGGAAAGAGAGAGAGACGATTGAGAATTCGCAAGAAAAGCTCTCTCACTACAACGCGCCGATAAGCCAAACGACCTGTGTACCCCTAATTGCGAATACGTAATTTGCTTTTGTTGACCCTGCCGCGCCGGATCCTCTGAGAACCGCTGACACATCACGGTGTGCGGGAGAGATTGTTTTCGTTGAAATGAAAAAACTTTCCCGTTAAGCGTCTTACGTCTGGTAATTCGCCGAAGGGTTTTCCCTCGACAGCTCGATATTAGTTCGTGGGGGGGGGGGGGCACGTCAAAGGAAAAATTAACGTATGCCAGTTGTACCACGCGGGGGGAGGGATTAATTATTCCGCGCGCTTCGGCTGCAATTTCAACGATTCCCCGCCATCGGGAATTAAGTGCCACCGCGTGTTCTTCGTAATGAAGCGCAATTACGGTAGGAAATTCGAGCCTTCCGGTTCCTCGCGTCTCGAGTCCTCCCTTTTTTTTTCTCTTTGTCGAGTGGGGCTTAATCGCGCGCTGCACCCGGTACGAAAAAAACACACACACACGCATGCACGCATGCACACGAGGAATTAACTTACGCGGAATTACGCGTTTACTGCGCGCATTACGAGAGCTCCGCGCACACATGCTCGCATCGCCCGCTCAGTTGTGCGCGCGTGTACGCAGCAAATCGCTTAACGCGCGCATGTTTTGCGACGACTGACACAATTAATTTGTAAATTACACGGGCCGGAATGTAATCAGCCGATGTACCTGCCTCCAGTCGGCGTTCCCGCCGACTCCGCTGGATTGCCAGCTTATTGTATTTGCCGGCGAATTTACGCGCGCCGCGTTTGAAGTTCGCGTGCCGGATATATCGCGCGCACGTTTTCGAAGGGAAAATATGCGCGTGTTCGCCTCACGCGTTTGCGCGCGCGCTTTAGTTCGATTATTAACTAAATGGCGGAGTGATGCATTAAGCATGCTAGGTAGCCGTCATTGCCGATGGTATCCCGTTGTGCACCGACGCTCGATCTTGATAAACGTGTGCGTTGCTCGGCAACCGATTCGCACAGCCGATGCGTCCGCATAAAACCACGCATAAGAGAATTAATATGTAGCACGAGGAAGCGCGAGCGCAAAATTACATAATTTCATTAAATCGTTCTGCATTCGCTCGCGTAAAATAATAAATTCGAAGGATCGCACATTATCGAGAGAGGTAATAGTGAATTTACGACGGGGATGATTCGAGGTTCGACGTGAAAGAGGCCGCGCAACCGCTAAAAATCCTCGGTAAAGAGCTGCTCGTCCGCGAGTAATATTTTAATAAAATAAAAAATAACTCGCCCCCCTCCCTCTCCCCTCGGAGGGAAGATGAATCACGGATAACCGCTGGATGGAAAAACTTCCTTTCGGAAATTGTTCTCAATTACTCTTTCCTATTCTTAATTTCGATGCAATCACCTTATCAGCTCGTTAACGTTAATCTCTCGTTCGCGGCGGCAGATTGAACAAATCAGTCGTGAGCTTTGCGACGATGTACACGCGGAATCTGATGGAATTTCTATTTCCGTCGCGTCTCCCCGACACGAGAAATACTCCCGAAAAACCGGATCCGTCGTCCCAGTTCCGAAACCAGTTAACTCGAGCATTTGACACGAACGGAGAGTCGCGGATAAAGAGAAAGAAAATAGGACGCGCGGGGTTAGGATTAATCTTGCCGGCCGAACGGAGAGAGGCGAAGAGGCAGCGGAAGGTCGCAAGAAAAACCGGATTAAAGTACACGTGCATCCCGATCCCCCCTCCCCCCCGATTCCCGGCGCGAAGGAAGCTGCCGCGTCCGATTCTCTTATTCCGGGGGTTGATATCGCGGTTTATGCATAGAAACGAGGCGAAGCCTCTGCGGTGCGCGCGGGAATCCCATCTTTTCCCGCGCCCGGCGCGGGAATCGCGACGGAGCCAACCCCCGTGACACAGTTAGTATATGTCTATTCCCAGACTGTTTCCCTTTAGAGTGGTCCATATAGCGAATTGGCTGCTGCTTTTTATTTCTCTCGCTCACTCTCGCAAGCCTTCCTCCTCCGTCTCTCTTTCTCTCTCTCTCTCTCTCTCTCTCTCTTTCAGTTTTCTTGTCGCGAGCGCGCCGCAGCCACCCCCGGCGGCACTGATATATGAATTGTAGCGGGGCTTAAAAATATCCCGGACTGGAATTATGGATACGATATTATTTCTTCCGGCGCGCAGCAACGCGACCGTCGTCTATCGCGTTACCCCGCGGCAGGCACTTTTGCGGTTTTATTAAGTTGAAAGTTTCTCGAGTCGTGATGAAGTGCTCCGTCGCGCCGCGGTGGCTTTGTTTTTTTCGAGAAGACAGAATTGATTTATCCTCATCTATCTCTTCGTTGTCGTCGTCACGCGCTACCCGGAGCGCTGCCGCATATCGGCGGAGTCGAGCGGCGAGACTCACGGCGACATATGGAAGCGCCTGCGGCGAAATAATCGAAAATACGCGGACAAGATGTTTTGTATGTATCGTCTCTTCGCGCGATTTCTTCCTCAATATTGTTATCATCGACATGTAGCACCGGACGCGGTGCATGCGGCAAAATTTCTTTGACCTTTCCTGTTGACTTTTGTACATCCATCGGTCTACATGAGTCACTATTATTCACACATCTTGTCTTTTCCTGCGTCTATCAACACAGTTTCGATTCCATGCTTTACTATCAATTATTTTGGCGGCCGAGCTCAAGTGAATCGAATTCTACCGAATGATATCAGACACGATAAGATTCAGCTTCAAATGAATGCCAGCGTAATGTTTCCACGGAACGCGAAAAATTGATTCTAAATTGCTCGGGGAGCAGCCGCAGAGAAATAAAAGTGGCATCGGTTTTCTTCCGAAAACGCTCACCGTGAAAGATCGCATTCCGCAACAAGATTCCATTTTCTCTCGCCGAATGATCGCGACCGACTCTCTCCAGCGAGTAATCACAGGATATTATTGACAGCTCAGAAATCGATCAAAGCGGATGCAACACTGACAAGGAAAGGAAACGCAAAAGCTCGATAGGTGCTGCGCGTCACGCGTATTTCTCGTGCAACGCGCTAATCCTTTGTATATCGCGCGTCCGACATGCGATTATCTCAACTCGTTGCTGTTGAAATTTCTACGCCGGGGATAAATACGTTTACACTGCGATGTGAAACAGTGATGCCCGGGATTAATCGTGCATCCGTATCTGTGCTCTGCAAAAGACACAAGTCAAGCAATTTTCCCTGCTTCGTGATTCGTACATTGAAAAAAATTGCTACATTCAAATAAATATTTACTAAGGAGTAATTTATTGAAGCAGTTTATTTTATTTGGATTAAGTAAATATTACTTGAATGTAGCACACTGGAGGAAGCAAGTGTACTTAAGTAATATTTACTTTATATTTATTACACTTAATCCAAATAAAATAAAATATTCCAATACTCTTTCGCAATTATTTAATTGAACGTAGCAATTGCGTCATTCTATCTTTATCCCTTATTACATAAAACGAAGATAGAATGATGCAATAGCGGTGACGGCGCGCTTCCCGAACGCAGCCTGAAAAACGCGAAGGAAAGTGGGCCGCCGTGTATCACGCAGTGCAAAGGTATCACGAAGAAGCAATAAGACGCGGTAGTATCGGCAACAGCCGCCCGTTTGCTTAACATCCTTGTCCCTATTTTTTTTTTCTCCCCGCGTCGCAACCGGTTCGTTCTCTCATGAGGGGCGGACTTCCAAGCAAGTAGTAGCAGGGACGCTCGTAGAAGCACCGTGTAATAATCGAATTGGAATTAACGCGATCCCCTCGACCGAATGAAAATCGCGTTTAGAGACCCGAACACGTAAAAATGATAATAATGTACATTTCATTATCGAATAAAACCCGTGTGCAACGGTGTCGCTTCATCGCGACATCCGACGTCCCTTTTCATTAACGTAATTTGCCGCTCGATCGTTTAGCAAAAGGCCGATACAAGGCGCTCCAGAAAACCGAAGACGCAGAAAATCGTCCGGACGAGCAAACGAGAGGGAAACACAGAGAGAGAGAGAGAGAGAGAGAGAGAGAGAGAGAGAGAGCACGCGCGTTTATATGCTTGGTTGACGATGTAACTCGCCTTGGCGAGCAGGCGCGTAAAAGTACGAACGTCCTCCAAGGACCGGTTTCAAGAAACTGCTCCGTATACATATGCACACATCGTCGCCGCGCAACCTCTTTCGAAGACGCACCCGCGCACCTGTGCAGGTGCAACGTAAGCGAGCAGCATTCGTCATACTCGTTATTACGGGCGAAATCAATTTCGATCCAAGCCGGATTTGATACGTCGAGTCGTCACGTTTCTTTTGTATCGCGCGCGTATTGGATTCCTCCTCCTTTTCGGGGCGGAAAAACACGCACGCGGTGAGGTCAGAACCTCGAGATACTTTGCCGAGGCGCGCGTAGGAAAATAAAACGTGATGCGTGCGGCGTACGTATCGTAATGCTCTCTCGCGATGCGGGGAATTAAATTGTTGGCTACTAATTAATTTCGCCGTTGATTGATCGCACTGTTAATTAATTGCAATTAACGGTATTGTATAACTCAATGTGGCGTGCGATGAATTTATCTGTAGATTTACTGAAATTCTTTTCGATACGTTTATGCGTAATGTGCGTTATCGCGCTTCGATGCATCATGAAACTCGTGTTGCTTTAGTTTGTCCGTTTTAACAATAAACACGATAATCTCTTTCTCTCTCTCTCTCTCTCTCTCTCTCTCTCTCTTTGTTTCTCTAGGAAACCGCAAACTCCACCGCTGCCAGTAGAAATTTATATTCACTGTCACGATAATTACCGGGTGTATTTATTGACGTACTAAATATCTGACTCGCGATACATCCCGCGTTAATTATTTTAATTCTAGATGAATCTCTCCGTCTTTCGTGATTTCGTTGCACGAGATTGGGTACGTTGCAAAAAGCGCGCCTGTTCGCGGAATGAACACCGAGGTATTCCAAATCCCAAGGAAAATATGAGCGCCGATATGCGAACAATGTAGACTCGGGCGTGTTTAAAAGATCCGTGATAACGGCGAGTAGCTACAACTGACGCTGTAGAACAATAACGCTGACAGAATCCCAGAAACGGCAACGAAACGCCAGCAGAAAAGCGCAGCGCGCATTAGAGGCGTATACGTTTAAGAAGATAAGGAAATTATTGCGGTTAATTATTACCTCGAGTGCATATCGCATTCGCTTTGGACCTTCTTGCAGAGCGAATTTAATTCGGAGGAATAAAAGGAAGTAAATTAGCATGAATTAATTGCTTCAAATAATCATTTTAAAACTACTTATTAAAACTACTTAACGTAATTCTGCGTTATGTCGAAATGTACACAATCGTACGGTGTGTTCAAAAAGTAACGCGTAAGCGATCTTCGAAGAAAAATTACCTTCTTAATGTTAAATATCCCAGGTCCGTGCTTCCTCGAAAATTTCTCTGAAGCACAATAATGAGTTCTGAAAAGTTGGCGAGGAATTTCATTATAGCCCCTCTCCTCCCTCCCCACCCCTCCTCTCGCCGATCCGTCGCAAATTTCTTCGGAAAATTTCTTTGTAGCAACGACGCCGCATAAATTCAGTTAGCTTCGTTTCTGTTCGCCTCACGCCAATAGAAATTCTGCGAGGGCAGCGCGCTGGCGTAAAAGGGCCGATATTAGAGGCCAAAGTGCTACGGGAATCCTGCGTGACTCTGTACTTTTCTTCGGTAACTGCGCCACGTCGGAGCATTTTTCTCAATTGACCGTCTCGTGAGAGTTTAATAGGGGCAATATAAAAGTTTCTCTCTATACGTCCGCCTGTCCGAGAAACACGATGACGCGCATTAGCGAGTATTGAAGGAAAAGGAGGGAAAAAGAGAGGTAAGGAGAAGGAGGGCTTTTCTTATTTAAGGCTTTTTATCGGCAAACTTCCCTTAACAAGAAGTCGTGTATGTACGTATATGTACGCATATACGCGACGTTTTACATAATCCACTGGTCACAGTTATCGTTCATTTCGCGCCTCGTTAAATCCGATTAGCGTGTCATCGTAATCAATTTTACCGATCTATCCGATCGAATCGATTTTCCGCTGTAACTAATATTTCGCTCGAGCGAGAACCGCGATACGTTCCTTCCACGTTGTCAACAGAGATTAATGACTTGTAAAATATGGTTTGTCCGTTTCCTTCTATTTTTTTTTTTTTAATTTCGATCGATCCTTGTTACAGCTTCGACACGAGGGGAAAGGAAACCCTGGATCAAGGCAGCCACTGGCAGGATCATACCTTGGAGCATCGCGCATTTTTCACGTATTCCGAGAGCCCCGCGAAACTCACCCTGGAAAACGTTCGTGAGAGCGACGCGGCTGTTTACAGATGCAGAGTCGACTTCAAGCAGTCGCCGACGCGCAACAGCAAAGTCAATCTAACGGTCATCAGTGAGTTCCCAAACGATATTCCGCATTGATCCGAATACGAGGTGCGCCCGACAAGAAGGGGAGAATCTTCCTTTTTTATATCCCTTTCTCTCTCTGAGACGAGCGTGTTCTTTTGAGAACACGTTCCTTCTTATTCCCGAAAAATAGATATTTACGTTACGTTCCCATACGGACCGATAGTTCTGAAATTTTTGAGGTCGACGGTCGTGAATCTCGATACGAAATTAAGTAATATGATTATATTTGTAAGAAAACAATGGGAAAATAGTTCACTAAGCAATTTTTACGATAAATAATGTGTGATTCTTCTGGAAGAACAGCAACACACTAAGCGGAAAGTACATAATAACTCGTCGCGAACGAGAAATTTCTAAAATTGCGAAATTTCCCTTTTACTTTTATACGCAGAATAAATAGAAGAATCGATTTGTATAAAAAAAAATGTATTCTATTAAAAATTCCATTAAAAAAACACCAAACTGTCCTTGAAATGACCTTAACGATTTCGCTTAAAAAAAAATTAACTTGACCACACAATACCCGCTTCAATGTTAAACAGTTGCTGGAAAATCAGAATTTCATATCTCGTTCAATTTCAAGAATATTAGCCCGTAACAATCTTAATGATTTACTGTATATAAAGAGAATTTCGATTTATCACATAGTGAAATTATATCGACCGATTCGACGTTCATGCTCCCCCACACCGTTTCTAAATACGGTCGACATCGTTACTGCGGAATTTCCGTGCCGGCGCCGTTATTCGTTGATCCTGTGCGCTCTCGAAAACAGTGCACCGTCTGCATTTAACGTCTTTTTTTCCCTCGCGGCGCGATGGGGTAACGTTTACCTTAATGGAGAAACGGCTACGTGACCGTGGCCGATGATACCGAACGGATAGACACCACGAGCTCCGCCATATCGGCGCATTAAAATTTATTTTTTATCTCAGACATAACGCCACCTTAATGGTAAAGGCGGTACGTGACGGCGCAGGCTGATACATCGCCGTGAAAATTGATTCGCCCGCGCTCTTCATGCCGACACGCGGCCTCGGATATTAGCATTATTAGCGATATCGCGAATCCCTGTCCATAAGTGCGAGCGATTAGCGCCGGATACAGCTTTAAAACCGACACGAAGACCCGAGACGTCGGAATTCGATCTGAGAGAATAAACGCGCCTCGCGTTGCGGGGAAAATCAAACACGCCTTCCCGCGGCTACGAGCTACGCCCGAAATTCCAAATTTCGGCCTCTTGGATTTAGACTCGGCCACGTAACAACACCCCGAAGAATAGTTCTCGCATAAATTCGATATCGCTGCTGTACCTTCGCAACGCCTTTTGCCGCGGAATATACATTTTTCGTAATACTCCGGAGGGGGTTTCCCGCCCGTCCATCCTCGCGGCGCGGCTCGTCGCTCGACGTTACTAAATGGAAATTTCTTAACACCGTCATAACGGTAACCACGAGACAGGCGTCTTCTTCGGTGACATTATAGGATTGATACATCGTCCCGCAAATTGATTCACCCCAGCCTCCTCCCCCACCCTTCTCATTTTGAATAAAAGGAAAAGAAAGAAGAAGTAGGAAAAAGAAGAGGTGGTTACAAGGCGTGCGCGCGCAGTATGTTCCTTTCTCTCTCTTATTGTGGAAAATTATTACAGTACCGCCGGAGCAGCTTAGCATATTGGACGAAGACGGAGGGTCTCATATTCCCCATTATATCCTTGGCCCGTACACCGAGGGAGCGTCTTTCAATATCACGTGTGTCGCCGCCGGTGGTAAGTGCATGACGCGTCGGTGCACTCCCCGGTGCATTCGCCTCGCATAACCCTCAACGTTGCCGCGACGTTACGGCACTCACGGCCGCTCTTCGTAACGTAACGTTACGCGAAAACAAATGCGGCTCGATTTCTTTGATATTCCAGCCGCGTTATTATTTGCGTTAGTCTCGCGTTTTAAATTTCGCTCGCGTCGAACGGAGGACAGATCGAACGCTAGTGAACGTAACAATATGATCGATAACGGTGGCCACGATATAGCGACAATATCGCGCGTTCGCCGCGATATTTTCTCGCGCGCTAATTCGAAAGGACTTTTCCACCGACGAAAAGATACTATATCCCGTCGCGAGAGAACATTTTATTTCTTACACCGCGTGAAGAGTTTCCGAGCTCTTCATTTTCTCCCTTCCCGCGGTTCGATTGTATTCATTATATTCGTAATGAATCGACTGTTCGTAGCGTAACGGAGTGAGTCGTGATTACAAGTCGAACGAGAACGCCTTTCACGGGACCGTGACGTTATTCCATGTGTTTCTCTATGTTGTACTCTGCCTTTATATGTTTCTTTAGGACGACCGCAACCACGAGTGACATGGTGGCAGGAAAATGCTCTGCTAGACGACAGCTACGAGGCTGTCGGTACTAAAAGGGTCCGCAATGTGCTGCGATTGGAAAAGTTAGGCCGCGAGCATTTGCATGCGGTTCTGACTTGCCAAGCCTCGAACAACAATATGGTAGCGCCGATATCGAGCTCGGTGTCGCTCGACATGAACTGTAAGCACCGATTTCCCGCGATATTCCTTCAAAGAAAAATTCGCGAAATCGTGTCTCTCATTGAATAAATTACTCGTGTACGAAACAACTAAATCAATTTCAATCTCTTCAGTAATCGATAATCTGTCATTTTGTATTAATCGAAACACGATCTACACACATGTAAAATTACGAAAAGATTGATCATATCGAAACTGGGATAATTAAAGTCGAAATTTTCTGCAGTAATACGTATAATATATTTTTACTCGTTTGTTCGATTAGTCATTGCTTCTGATTAATTGTCAATCTAATATTTAAATAGTCGCTTAACAAATGTCGTGTATCGATTGTTACATCTCGCCGAGACAACGTCGGTGAATTTAGTCGTAACCGGGGAGATTTCTATCAGCCAACACGTACGCGGATCGATGGGTACTTAAAATCGAGTGTGACGCACTCTTTTGCAGTGAAACCACTCTGGGTCCGGATTCAAGGAGAAATCCGTCCATTTAGCGCTGGCAAGACCTACGAGATAGGTTGTGAGGTCGTCGGAGCCAGACCGGAGCCCAAGATCGTATGGTCCAAAGGGAACATGATACTGCGAAATGCACGGCAGACGGTACGATTTAAAATAGAATCGTCGGCGATTTAATACATTCTCATAAATCACACGACATGCGCTCATCTCGAGTACTTCCTCTCTCTCTCTCTCTCTCTCTCTCGAACAACTATCGCTTCACGTCGCTTTTCTTTTTCTCTTCACCCTCCGCATAACGATTGAGAGAATGAAACTAATCAAGGTGTTTCAAACTACGATCGTCCGTGTGCGACTTTGACGTTTCAACGTGCTTTCACGAGTTTTTCGCGGGAATGAAGTAAATATAAAGGAATATTACGAGAAGTTCTTCCGGGATTTTCATATAAATCAACGAGAGCAAAGGTTCACTGAAAAATAAGTTTGGTTATGGCACCGGAGTAGTCGATGTGATTGTCCTTGTTTAATGACGTCAGAAACAAGAAAATGCATACCAAGATTTTTTGCGTTATACTTTCAAATATAAAATTGTAACCACAAAATAACACTTGTAATCGATTCAGCACACTTGTAAAATTGGAAAACATTCAGTGTTCTGTACGACGTCGTAACACGAGAATTTGGAAATTTTTTCCAAATTCGAGCCTCGTACAGATCGGACGCTACTCCGCGATGCAATCTCATCGCCGTCCGGTTCTAATTCAATCCGCCGTGGCGGCGCCGATTCGATCCTGGGGAGTGTGCACGCGCGTATCGCGATTATTAAATTGTTCGGTAAACTGTTTTAAATTCATGAAATCTCTCATCTCGGCAGGCGACTTCCGACGGCAACATAACAACCAGCATCCTCACATTCGTGCCGAATATCGAAGACGCCGGAAAGTTCCTGTACTGTCGCGCCAACGTGCCAGTTATTCCGGACTCGGAGATGGAGGATGGATGGAAGCTCAATATATGCCGTGAGTGTTTTCGCAGATACTCGCCAGGCTGTCCACAATTTCACGCGCTACGTGCGCATACAGACGCGCAGCTCCCGTTAATATAATATTTTTCCAAGCACATGGTATGCATGCATATTGTACGTACGCGTAAGAGCATGTGCTCCTTGAATTCGATACATATATATGTATGAGACGCACTCCCTGCGAGTGTTAAAATTCAAGACCTACCGACTCACGTAGAGATGCAACAGCAGGACCCCCCCGTTGTGCCGCTACGCAGATCTGCAACGGAAAAATACAATTTTGCCGATTAAATTTACGGTTCGTTTCTTCTTTCCTCTCTAAGGAATTTAGCCCTTTGCGATCGCAATTCGAGTTGTTCCGACGACTGTATCTCGACCTTCGATCGCGACGAGTTAAATGTGAAGGAACATAGAGTTCCCGCGAATTTATCGTCTAGTTGAGCCAGCTTTACCTGAACCGGGTCTTCCGGTACTGCCTCCGCCATCCGGCCGAACTGCATTTTCCGCCACTGGCACCGTCAGATCTGAAACGAAACGTGATTTTGCCAATTAGTCGCGACAATAGAGAGGTTATGTGGTCTGGAGATTCGAGAGTACGGCTATTCTGTGTTCTTTCGTTGAGATTAATAAACGTTAATAATCATTATCTTACATGTTTCGCGTCGCCGCTGCTCACGACAATATCAAGGTGACGATGACACGCACAAAGTATCGTAATTTCGTGATTTCGGAAGACGCGAAAACGACGCGCGACGACATTATCCGGTCCACTCGCGTTCGCGGTCGCGACAACTGTGGTCATCCATGTTTACTTATCGGACGCCGACGCATGTTGTCATTGCTTCTAGGTCGCGCGACGTTACGCGCGAGTTCCTTCGGAATGTCAACAGACGCGAGACGAGCGAACAACCGCAACAGCATCTAAAACGTAACGAACACTAACTCCCGATTTTTCCGAATCGATTTGGCGCCTAAACGCGTCAACGGCGCGCACACAATATGGCGATAATCGACGCGATAAGTGTTGCGCGTGAATTGACCAATCAGAGCTCGGTTCAAAAACGAGAATCTCAATATGGCCGTTTCGCATTATCGACCGTGATTTTCTCTCTCAAGTTTACGTCTTACGTTTACGGTTACGCCAATTCGTGCGCGACAATCCTTGAGTCCTACCGTTTTCCGTACACCAGCGGTCCTTACGTTTCCGACAGTGTCCTTCCGAACGTGTCCTCCGCGGTGGTTCTCCTGTCTCGTTTGTCAGCGCACGGAAAAGAACGGTCGTTCGACGGGCCGTTGGTGGTGAGTCGCGTCGTAGCGCTCGGCGCCGCAGTTCAAATTGCACCTCCGGTGCAACTTTCGCGCGGCATTAATACATAAAAGTTGCGGCACGAATCGCCGCGAAACGTCGCGGCGCGATGTGGACGCCGTGCTGCTGCAGCGGACCGGGATTAACGCCGTGATTTCACTGTCCAATATAAAAGTTTTTACCTAGCGGGCACACGGAAGGAGAGCAGAGAAGGAGAGAGAGAGAGAGAGAGAGAGAAAGTGAGAGAGAAAGATAGGAGCTCTACGTCGAAATTAATGGCACATGCCGATTTGCCACCGCTACCGCCACCTGCCGAGCCGGGGAAGATTCAACCCGATTTCGCGGCGCGTTTCCACAGCTTCGACTGCCTTGCCAGCCCCATTTTCTCGTCTTCCCGCGGATTTTTTCCATTAGTCGCGCCCGCCGATAATTCCGCGAGTCGGGGCGGGGCTCGGCGAGAGAAATTTACTCGTTTATTGCGAATGCGAATCGCGAAAGGCGGAATTATCGGATTCGCTCGCTCGGTCGCTCGCGCGCACGCAGCTCTACGGCGAAAGGAATCATAAGTAACATTCGATACGGTCAGCCATTTTCTTTTTTTTTTTCACGGAGATAATACCACAGAACCGGCGCCGGACGACGCTCTTTCAATGAGAAAATGCGAGAATGTTCGATTGCGGTGCGCCATTTATTTACGATTCACGAGGATTCACGACGGTAAGCGCCGCAGGCAGAAGCCGTGGCTGTGAAAATCGTATTATCATCTGCGTGAGTATTATTCGCGCTCGAAACTCCAATTTTTTCCTTCCGTATCCAAACGGTGACCTAACCTGTTGTAATCTAAGCTAAGCTAATCTCCTACGGTTCGAGCACTCTCTCTCTCTCTCTTTTTGTTGTGGTGTTCAAACATTAATAACGTTAATTATCATGTTCGTAATTAAAGCGGCATTTCTCATATTGGCACATCCCACTCACACGGCTTTGATGTCGATTCTGTTTTCAGACGAGCCTGTGGTTACCCTCGAGCTTGGCAGCAATCTGAATTCGAGCGCTATTCGGGAGGGTATCGACGTTTACTTCGAGTGCAACATCAAGTCCAATCCCTGGGTTTACAAGGTTTCCTGGCGCCATAACGTGAGTCCACACTCCTCCGCGCGCGCGTCTTGAGAGCGCGGATAACGAATCCGGTTCAGAAATCGATAATATAAGCTGAGGGAGCTTAATCGCGTCGAGATAAGGGAACGGCGGCGACGCGCACCTGCGACACACGAACTTCCTTCCGTCCGAGAACTCGCGCGCGCGCGCGTTTGATCTCGGATTCGTATCGCCGAGATGCGACGCGACGCGCGTATAAAGCGGACTTTCCTCAAATAGTAATTAACTCTCAGAGAGAGAGAGAGAGAGGGAGAGAGAAAGCAACGAGATTTTCTTCTCAAGATCTCGTTCTCCGTGAAGAGTCGCGTAATTTAGCGTTCTCCTTGCCTGAAAATCTGGCATTTTCTCTCGCTGAGGACGTGCAGGAATTTTTCGACAACCAAGATTCTTGAAATTATTATTGGAACTATTGCTATTTTATTCGTACAATCCATATGTTTCCGTTAACTAGGAAATCAAAGATACTAGAGATTAATTATTTATGACCCTTATTTTTGACTAAAAATAATTGTAATCGAAACTGAAATTTAGTATGATATGGTACCTCTTGGCTCTTTAAGATTAATCAGCAAAGGAAAGAAGGAGACAGAAAGAAATAGGCAGAGAATAGAACGTGAGCAAATATTACGTGTATAAAAACATTTCCTCTTATCAACATTAAAAGTAATCCGCGTTTTTGATACTGGATTTCGCATAACGCGATACGCAACGTGCGAATATTTCGCGAACGGTAATCCATTGGGATTATGCCACGGTGTTCGAATTTATTCTAAGCCTTTGAACTGCGCAATGTTTTTCTACGTTATTAAAATAATTGGTGTGATTGATGTAGACTGGTAATCGCAGCGCAAACTGAGCAGCACGTACAAATCGGGCCGTTTTATCAACGATTAATCAGAACGCGATTGTGATTTGTCACTGTCCGAATGTATTTTAATCTCTTCATTCATAGAACGTTTTGTCTTTTATCGATGATAAAGTCACACGCGCAATTGATTCGGATCTGATAGCGCGCGGCATAAATCACGTGTATAAATCAAAATATTTCCTGCTTCGCAATTAAACGATCGGGAAGCAATTGCTCTCGATCACGCCAAATTTATTTTAATCCCATGGAACGGAGCATATTTTTTCTCTGCTGCTATCGCAGAACGTGGACGTATTTACAATATTTAAATGATAAACGTACCATGCCTGACATCGCGTATGCGCGCGCGCGTGTAGTTATGTGTGTGCACGTTTCACTGAAAATCGTCAGACCAAATTTTTCAGGCGTACCCTTTAACTTTTCCGGTATTCTTCGAACTTCGATATCCGTTCGAGCCAATTCCGTCGCAAAACGAATGTCGTATACGCGGAAACACCGGCGAACGCAAATCCCAATCAATTTCCTCGATTCGAAGACTCCAAATTTGTTTCGCGAAAACTCAAAGCCGCTTTCGCGGCCTCGAAAGTCGCATGTGCGACGGGGAAACGCGCGAGATCGAGAAACTGTCAGCACTCCCCGTCGTGAATTTCTCACGCGGGATTTATTATCGCTTAGCGCGCGCGCGCGAAAGAAAAAAAAGACCGTAAAAACCTATTTGCACTTTTTTCGACATTAATAATATCGCGCGAGCGGGAAATGCATAATATCGATGTATTCCTGTTTTATAACGCTGTTAGTTGCTCATTATTATTTACCATTAGTCATATACTGTCATATTCTTTCTTACGTTGTTGCCGATAAAGGAAAAGCACCAAAACCGACGTACTATTTTGCTTTTATGCTATAAACTGCCACTTCAGCTCCACCTATTACGCTCAATAGACGGAATTCATATACTATTTGATATAATTCGATATTTTATAGCTGAGAAACATGAGTTTGTCGATTTTCCATACCTGTGTCAGTTTTGGTGCTTTTTCTCTAATAATGGAAATTTTAACATGATATTCATCAAAAGAATTTTCGGGATTGCGGTTCATCGTCGAAAAATTACCCCGTCTCTCGAAACGGTTTATTTTTGTCGCGACACCGACGAATAGTCATAGATCGGAATTAAACTGGAATCGATTCTCGCGCTCGAGGTCCGGGACTTTTTAATTTTCGGGTTTGCCGGAGTTCCTTTGTGGGCTTAAATAATCTATTACTTGCGCGCCGGATCCCCGGCGAGTTTGTTCACACTGGCAGCCAAGTAAACACGTGGCCTCGTTTGATTTCACATCCGCAGGGCAATCCGCTATATCACAACGCGGCGACCGGAACGATAATAAGTAATCAGAGCCTGGTGCTGCAGAGCGTCACTCGCAGTAGAGCTGGGATTTACACGTGCATCGGCAATAATCAAGAGGGCGACGGCGAGAGCAATCCGCTGAACTTGGACATAAAGTGTGAGTATCCGTTACATACATTTCCCGCATGTCATCCGCCATAATCTACATTGGGCGCTCTAATTAAGTCCAACTACTGGCGGCTTATCGTTCGACGTAACATAGAAATGCACGATACCCTTCACGCGCTTACACTCATCTCATTCTAAGACGATTAGCGAGCGACTAATGCGATTTTCTCACAGGAAAGAGGCAATACCATTCTCCGAGACATCTTTCCACTATTTTTGGTCGCGAAAAAAATACACGTGCAATCGTGACGAGCCTTTTCCTTTTCTCTCTTATTTTCGAATTTTCCGCGCACTCTCGGCGCCCGTATTTTTTCAGCGTCCTGTTTTCTTATTGCTGAGAAAATGATTGTTGTATAACGTAGAAAAATAAGGAACGTGCGACCTCGCGGATCTGAAATTTCTGAATTGCCTAAAGTCCGGAGTTAATTCCTGTGTCACTGCGTTCACTGCGCTGACACATAACTGATACTGACACAACGGTATGCGCGCGGATCGACGTTAAATCAGCTTAGGAGTCAAGCTTTGTTTACGAGGGACATAAATCCGGCGCATAGGAGGAAACGTCCGCGCATTCGGAGCGTGAGCGCTCGCTCGCTCCCTCCCTTCCTCGTAGCGAGATCTCCGCTTCATATCGACGTTTAATATCTCGAGATCGCGCACTATAAAAGAAAACAAGGTTTCATAAAGGCTCACTCTCTACAGAGAGGCAACCCGTAACGGGCGCGGTCGTAAGTCAATTTCATATGCACGCATTAACCTAAACACTATAAGCAAGTTTTGACAGCTCCTTCAGTGCGTTGTAAAAAAAGATTACCGCGGCTCAATATTAGTTTCGAGTTATGAGTTATAAAACTCGAGATATATTAAGGATATAACAGCAAAACGCTCGCGCGTTCTGGACTTAATTGCTTGAAAGTTCGCGTGAGCAATCAATGAGCCGACGATAAAGAGATTTCTTTCCCATGTTACACGTTTTCACGCAGAAAATTAACTTACTAGTACGGTAAATTTTATGCTGTCACAACAAACTCGGTCGGTTACTACGCGAACATCGCTGTCGCAACGAATATGCAGCGATGGTTTCGCTGCAGCAGCAAAATTATTTTCTCCGTGAATTCAATTAAAGAGACCTGGTCTCTACGTTCGGCTTCCCTCGCTCGGCTTTCCTCGGAGATGCACGTGCTTTGTCACCGGCTCAAAGTAATTCATAAGGAATATTCACAGCTCTTTTTATATCCGATACTCGATAATAAAGAATCTGAAATACACACTACGAGAGCGAGAAAATATCGCCGTCTTCGTCGTGTCTCGAAGTTCGCCAGTATGAATTTATTATAGCGATGTGTGCGGTCCCTTTCCCGCGCATTTTATCCGTGCAAAGTGTCTTACACCAAGGGTTCAGCGAGCGTTAAATCATTCCGGGGGATGCTTTACATACGTGGGGACACATGCACACACACACACACACGTAGCCGACCCCGGCTCTGCCTTAAGTCTGTGCGTGGCTTATGACCGACTGACTGACATTTGCCACCGTTCGTATACCAACTGCGCTCATTAGCATTTAATGGCTTTAATACACGTATAAATTATCCACTATTAATCCGCGCGCGGATTAATCGTCGATCAGCCGAGGTATCCCCCCCGTATCATTCACCTGAACATCTGTACGTATGCAGAATATTTGCTAATAATAAATTCGTTGCATCAGCAGGCCGGTAATATTTGTGTCTCACAAAGGGTGGCGTGTAACTATTTTCTCTACTGTGAGATATTTTTCCGCCGTTTCTCTGCAACGTCGATGTTAAATATCGTAATAATGAAACCCGGAAGCCGAGAGATCAAAGTCGTTTTAACAAAAGCGAAAAGAGAGACAGCGCGAATTACAACGATGAAAGTTAGGTCGTGATTAATGAAATCTTGCATCGTTTTATGTTTCTTTTTGTGTGGACACAATATCAACGCAAAAGCCGCTTTTATCATTAGACTGCGGTCGCCAGGTTCGTCTCCTTCCGGCTAAAGCTTTGACCGAGGTTGCTGCGTGTCGTTTCTCGCTAATCTTCTTCTTTATAACCCTTCCGCTAAAATAGCATTACACTGAAATAAATTTTATTCGTGAAGAGTACAATATCAATAAAAATGTCGAGCGACGCGCGTCATTGAGTCGTATTTCACGGATATTCCAGCAGTGAATTCGTCCTGTGTGTGTGTGCGCACGTTCTCTCTCTCTCTCTCTCTCGAGGCTTTCCAGTGAAAACTATGTGAAATTTCGCGTAATTATACTCGCAATTATGTTGGTTTTAATAACCCTTTTGGTAAGCTAAACGGCCGAGTCTCGTGAACGTCGAATGTTCCTGTATAATCCGTATTTTCTTTGTTCCCCTAGGCTGCAGCCGCGCTATTTTACAGCTAACTAAGCGGCTTAAGATCTCGGATACGGCAGAGCTCGAAGAAGGAGCTTCTTGCCGCGCGCATAATTATACGTACTGAAACTGAATTAAAATCTTAAGCGTTTCGCGTTACCTCGCTCGCGCACGCAAATCGCAGATTTTCCGGAACGAAGCGACTTTCTCTCTCTCTCTCTCTCTCTTTCTGCCTCTCTTTTTCTCGTACTGCCCGTTTAAGACCCGAGATAGATCTCGTTTCGCATTTATGCATTATATACTCTATATATTTACCTAACGTATCATTTTTAAAATATGTCGCGCTACAGAGCGTGCTCGCGAATACCTCTGTCGAGTAATCAATGTAGCTCGCATGAGAGGAAATGCGTTACGTGCATCCTGCGAATTCTAATTCGCAGAAAATACATATTTCAAGCTTTTTAATGTAGTAAATCTCTTCATACATCTCTGGTTCGGATATATCAGCGAGAGAAATGTCAGGATGAGGCCTTTGAAAATTCTGGATATTCGTGCTCTCCGGACGCGAAGCTTGCTTAAAGTTTCACAGGCCCGCAATGCGTCTCGACGTCTAACGCGATCACGTCTAACGTTTTCGAGATATTTCGTGTATAAGTCGATATCGGATCGAAAAAGGTTGCTTGGTAGCTTCGAGCTGCTACTTCTGCTGCTCCATTTTCGTGTAATTGCACCTCGCGCAAAGAATACGCGCCTCGCGCGAATTACACGACGAGCATCGCCGTAACAACCCGCAATTAAATGTGTCGAGTCTAAAAATTCCGTCACTCAGCCGTTCGTCAGTGTTAACGTTGGTCTTAATCAGAGGCTTTTACGTTGGAATGTTGCAAGTATAAAGAGCGATAATAATAATCCGCCAGCAACGACGGCTCAACAATCCGACTTACGCGAGCAGGTTAATATTATTTCGCATTTTAAATTGAGATGAAGAGATATATACAGGATGTTTTGATCTTTTTTTTTTCGCGAAATTTTATCATACTCGGCTTGAAATCAACGTTTTGCTCTTCCTTTTGAAATCAACGTTTCATTTCCTTGATCTCGTTTCGCCCTTGTCAAGTTCTATTGTGATAAGTAATGATATCTCTTATCTACTTTCTCCCGTGTACACTTCAAGTCTCTCTAGACTTCTTGATTCTTTTGAGGTCACCCCGTAGATCAAGCTTGTAGTATAGCTACGTCGTACGACGCGGTTTCGCAGAGCGAACGTGGTGTAAACATGCGACCCTTTGGCTGACGCTGACACGCGCAAAGTAATACAGGTTGCTTAAGCAGAAATTGCGCGATTAATACTTAATTACACGCTGCGGTAACTTCACGCGGGACCGCCATATTTTTATCACGCGAACTTTCGCTCTCTCTCTCTTTCTCTTTCTCTCTGTGTGTGCGAGATCCTAATGCGTAAAATATTAAACATCTTTATTTAGCGTGGATATAAATCAAATGATTACAAAAACAAGTATCAGCAGCGGGTGCGAGATTTATTTTCTGTTACGTAATCCCCTCTCTCTATCTCTCTCTTTCTTTCTCGGTTTTCAATTCTCACAGTCCCTTCATCTTTGACTTCTGAAACTGGTAAGTTCGAAGCGGAGTAGGGTCGATGGAAAAACCGATGATAACGTAGTTGATATTTCGGAGGGCGAACAGCAGTGGGGAATTATCGATTCGTCGAGAGATCTGTCAGAATGAATTACGAACGAAAGCGAATCTGTACGAAACGATACAACCGACTCTGCGATACTCCACAAATTAATCTTATAATGAAAAAAAAAAAGGAAAAGAGAAGAAAACAGGCGCGTGTGGGGAATTTAATTTCCGTAATCGTCGCGTCAGGCTCGCTTCGCCAGCGACTTTTGCCACGGTGTCGCGAGGGACTGGCGTTTCATTCCGCACAACAAAATCGTGCCGATTTATAACTGACTCAGCCTTCTCTTTCTCTCTCTCTTTCTCTCTCTTCGCTACGGCCGTCCGCGGGAAGTAGATACGTCATCGGTCAGCCGGCGCGCGCGTTATCGGCGCGCAATACGCGCGCTCTCGCGGAATTCGTTTCGCTAACTTTAGATTCCGCTGGTGTAATTTAATTACGACAGACGGACGGCGCAAACTAGAATGCCGTCGTTGCTGCCGCCACCACCGCCGCCGCCGCCACCCGGATGAAATATGTCAATGAATTTATCGCGGCCGCCGGCCGGACATTTATTCGCGCTGCAAAAGTGAATTCGATTTCTCGCCGGGGCGTTTTGATTTATTCGCCGTGATAGATTGGATAGATTATGTAGTCGCGCGTAAAAAGCCGAGCCAAGACGTCGCCCGGGTGGCGCGATCGATCGATCGTACGTCACCCATCTGTAATCCCTAACAATACTCCTCGCTAGCGTTTAGAAGATCCGTGAGATCCTACGCGCGCGCGAATTTCTCGGGCCGCGCGTTCGAAAGGAAGAGAGAGGAGGAGAGTAGAGAACGAGAGGGATCTTTTCAATGGAAACACAAGGCGTATTAATTACGCGGATATATTAATACATCACGAGATAGCGATCGCGCGACGGAATACAAGCGACACATGCACACA